TGTAATAAGTCCTGTTGTTGTAGCATCACTTGATCACATCTATTTTGAAATTTAACATCAAACGATTGAAACATCTCAGTCATTGCGGAGACCAAGTTCTGCAGCTCTCTGGCAAGGGGCGGTGGAGGTGAAAAAGATAACGGGGGTGACAAGTGGAAAATTTCAGAAGTTAGTTGAGATGTCTGAGACATCAGGGATGGAAGTCCACCCATCTTAAAGCATCCTGGCTGGGGAATTCTGGGAGTCGAAGTCCACAGGTCTTAAAGTTGTCGAATTTAGATACCTCTGATTGAGCTTTTTCTTCCTTCCTTCTTTCCTTCCCTCACCAGCCCGACGTAAATCAAAACTTCCAGGTGACACCTCTCTCATGACCTACCGGGGCCACGGAGTCCTGCACACCCTGATCCGCTGCCGGTTCTCCCCTCCTCACAGCACTGGGCAGCAGTACATTTACAGCGGCTGCTCCACCGGGCGGGTGGTAGGTAAGTGGCTCAGGAACCGGAGCGCCCTCCGAGCACAAGGAGAAGACACAAAGCAATTCATCTGAGCGGAGGAGCGGGATTGGGTAGGAGAGGAGATCCCGGGATCGACTCGGGATTGCTGGCGCAGACCTCCCAAGTCAAAGTCAACTGATCTATGAGAGCCACTTTGGTCTAGTGGTTAAGGCAGCAGGCTAAAAAGCAAGCGATTGTGAGTTCTAGTCCCATTTTAGCCACAAGCTGGGTGACTTTGGACCAATCACCAGGTGCCAGAGAGTTCTAATCCTGCCTTAGGCATGAGTGCATGCTGAATGAATTTTGGCCAATCACCAGGTGCTGGTGAGTTCTAGTTCTGCCTTAAGCATGAAAGCTGGTTGGGTGAATTTGGGCCAATCAACAGGTGCCGGTGAGTTCTAGTCCTGCCTTAGGCATAAGTGCATGCTGAATGAATTTTGGCCAATCACCAGGTGCCCGTGAGTTCTAATCCCGCCTGAGGCATGAAACCCAGCTAGGTGACTTTGAGCCAATCACCAAGAGATGGTGAATTGTAGTCCCGCCTTAAGCATGAATGCCTGCTGGATGAATTTTGGCCAATCAGCAGGTGCCAGTGAGTTCTAGTCCTGCCTAAGGCATGAAAGCAAGCTGGGTGACTGGGCCAGTCACCAGGAGATGGTGAATTCTAGTCCTGCCTTAGGCATGAATGCCTGCTGGAGGAATTTGGGCCAGTCAGCAGGTGTCAGTGAGTTCTAGTCCCGCCTTATGCATGAAAGTCGAGTGGTTGACTTTGGGCCGATCAGCAGGTGCTGGTGAATTCTAGTCCCGCCTTATGCATGAAAGCCAGGTGGAGAATTTTGGCCAGTCACCAGGTGCTGGTGAGTTCTAGTCCCACCTTACACAGGAAAGCCAGGTGGAGAATTTTGGGCCAATCACCAGGTGGTGGTGAGTTCTAGTCCCACCTTAGGCATGAATGCCTGCTGGATGAATGTGGGCCAGTCAGCAGGTGCCAGTGAGTTCTAGTCCTGCCTTTGGCATGAAAGCCGAGTAGGTGACTTTGGGCCGATCACCAGGTGCCGGTGAGTTCTAGTCCCACCTTAGGCATGAAAGCCGAGTAGGTGACTTTGGGCCGATCACCAGGTGCCGGTGAGTTCTAGTCCTGGCTTAAGCCTAAGAGCCGAGTAGGTGACTGGGCAAGTCCCTCTCTCTCTCTCAGCCCACCCCACTCCACCCCACACCTTTGTTGTCGTAGGGAAAATGCGACGAGGAAGGCGTGTTGCACCCATTCGTCGCCTTGAGTAAATTTTTCAAAATAATAAAGGCGGGATGCAAATAAATAAATTCATTTGTCCAAACACCGTTGGGAGTGTGTGTGTGTGTCTGGTAAGCTAAAAATGTAAAACCATGAAACGCCCTCTGCCATATTCTTGCTTCCTTTAAGTCGGGCTTTGGGAAACCATGAGAATCTTTCCCTGGGGATCCTGCCGATGTAAAGGGCAAGCGAGAACGTAGAAATGCCCGGTTTTACTTACTCTTTTAAGATTTGGAGAGACCCTTTTTCATTGGCCAATTCACCCAGACGTTGGAGGTACGCCCCCCCCCCCAATCCTCCAAGACCGGGTGCCGCCTTCTCCTTTTCTCTCTTACTCTACGTTGCTGCTGATGCTACTCCTCTCTCTTCCACCCCTTCCTCTCACCCCCCACTCCCCCTAAGTCTACGATCTCCTGAGTGGCCTCATTGTGAAGAAACTGATCAATCACCAAGCCTGCGTCCGGGATGTGAGTTGGCATCCGTACGAGGAGAAGATCGTCAGCACCTCGGCAAGTATCGGGCGGTCCGGTCCGGTGGCGGTGATGGAGGAATTGCTGTGTTTGTGTTTGTTCGCTCTTTGTCTAGCCGGAGCGCTCCAAATTCTTTAGAGCAGGGTTTCCCCAACCTGGCTGGCTGAGGAATTCTGGGAGTTGAAGTCCACAAGTCTTAAACGTCGGCACGGTTGGGGGACCCCGGCTTTAGAGATTGTCCTCGCGTTAACAACCGTTTCATTTAGCGACCTGTTTGAAGTGACGGGGTGTCAGAGCATGCGCAAGTCTTCTTGCGCTGAGGTAACCCAGGAGTAAATAACAGTAAATGGTATTAAGTGTGGTTTATATTACACTCTATCTACAAATGTACCGTAGAAATAAAATACATACAGCTGGTGAAACAGCAAACTCCAATATACAGCAATCACAGCAGGATAAGGAGAAGAGAGAAAGACTCCAGCAAAAAAAACTTCCCTTTTATACTCAGACTCTTAAAGGGATACACACACTCAGACTCTTAAAGGGATACACACACCTGCTGAGTCATTCCTATTATTGCATCATCCACTTTATATTGCACTACATCATTACATAGGCCGTTTAGCTATGAAATTATTATCCTGACACGGCGGCACTCAAACAAAATAGATAATTTAGATAAGATAGATAATTTAATTTGTATACCGCCCTTCTCCCATAGGACTCAGGGCGGTTCACAGCATATTAAAAACAAATAATATACACAAAATACAAAAAATGCAAAATACAAAAATACAGAAATACAAAAAAATAAACCCCGATAAAAGCCGAATTAAAACCAAATATTACCAGCTGTGTTTCCAATTAAAATACT